TTTTTGATAATTGTCTGGATTAACGGGGAGAAATTGTGCGAAAATTTAATAACGATGAATGTTAAAAAAAGGAAAGGCACGATGATCGAAGGATAAAATATAAATGTGTAATTTTTTTTTTTTGTTATAAAGACTTGCTCGATGGTTTAGATTTATAGACAATCGTTTTGAAACCTTTGATTGTAAAAGGTTTCTCCCTTCCACGATCCCTGTTTTCTCTCTTTTAGCGGAACAGTACTTAGAAGATTGGTTGACGCCTTTAAAGGGATTTAAAGAAAGAAGAATGTTTCGAATTGTCACTCGATAAAATACAGTCGGATAAATGTATAAATTGCTCGCCCCCCCCCCTTTCTCGGCAAATGTAATTGTACTTTCTTCTTAATAATTATGAAAAGGAAAATCCTTTTGAAATCCTTTCAGAATAGATGATTATTATCGTTCAATTTAATTTAACCAAAGGAAATTTTAATTCGTGGAATAGAATGTACTTTGAAAGTCAATATCCTTGATCAAGTCAATATCCTTGTTTTTCATAAGTTTTCTTTTTTTTAAATACAAAGAGAAGATACATTGAATCTTTTATTGCATATTGCTAACAATCCAATCGCAACTTAAAAAAAAGATTATTTCCATTTAGGAGAGACTTATTGCGAGGAAAAAAGTAAAGAGATTGAGCATAAACTTTCAACGACAATCCGGATCCTTATTTTACTCTAATAACTGAACGAAATGAAAATTTTCCAGGGATATTCTATTTTCTCAAAAATATCCGAAATTTTACCTTTCGAATAATCTGTAAAAAAATAAATAAATAAATTCCTTATTAAATTTCTTACAGCGCAATAAGAACTATTTTTGCAATTAATTAGATCATGAGTCTCTTTTTAGAGTCTTCTTTAAGTAAAAAAAAAAAAAAAAAATAAAATAAAACGAGAAAGATTTGTCTTCTCCTCTTTGCGAACATCGTAATCCCTGTGTACAAGCCAGATCTGGATTCACGGTACGCCGATCTTTCCAATCGCAATTTATCACGATTGGTCTCTAAGAAACATCAATTGAGAACAGTTATAAGCCTTCTTCTTTCACGTTTAAAAAGGATTAAAAAATTCGTCTTGTTGCTTTTATACTCGTGCTCTCGATCTTCGTCTTCCTTTCCCCCCTTCCCTTGTCGTTCTTAACTTCGAATTTCATCGATAGTTTCTTACTATATCCTTTCCCTCTTTGGAATTACTTCCGTTATTATATCTTTGTACACTCGTACAAGAAGAGAAATATCGAGTAATATTGAAATTTAACGATAAAAAAAATCCTCGAGTATCACTTAAAGAGAAGGAGGAATCGATGTCGTCGAAACGGAAATAATAATATTTAGAAAATTTGAATAAATTCCAACGAGTCTTCGAGGATGAAATTACTCCTCCTATATTATCGATAAAATGAAAAACTGTTGGATAATCGAGAGAAAAAAAAAAGTCTCTCATCACGCGAACAACAACCATCTCGTTGCAACCACTTCATTTATAAATATTTCCTTCCTTGATCAAAATTATCGTTGAATTTCCTGATTTTTTTTTCTTTCTTTCCGGAAATAAAAAAAAGCCTCGGATTTCCATTGAAGAAGAGAAATTGAATTGAAATATCGCCGTGGAAATTCATTTAGCCATCGAATTGCATTTTACGTTATTACGTTACCGATATTGAACACCGTTGTTCCACGATGCAACTTCGTTTTACAGCTCTCCGCCATTAATAACGTGATCTTTGATGATTTTCCGTGCCACGGTTATAAGGTTCCACTTCCGTGCCGTGATAACCTCCCGATAAGTAGATTCACCCTCGCGATACAACAAAGACATTGATCCGAAACGGGAGGTGTCGGAAAAAAAGCGCGGAGAAAGGAGAGCATTTTTTCCCTCTCTCCTTTTTCTTTTTTTTCTTTTTTTTTCTATCGACCTTCCCGAGAAAGGTTTTTCCCGTGACCCGAAGAAACGATGAATATAACGGTCCGATTAAGCGAAGTCTTTCTCTCCTATTCAAACAGGAGCACTATTCAATTAACGAAGAAATGGAATTTTCCTTTTTTTTTTTTTTTTTTCTATCGACCTTCCCGAGAAAGGTTTTTCCCGTGTCCCGAAGAAACGATGAATATAACGGTCCGATTAAGCGAAGTCTTGCTCTCCTATTCAAACAGGAGCCCTATTCAATTAACGAAGAAATGGCATTTTCCTTTTTTTTTTTTTTTTTTCTATCGACCTTCCCGAGAAAGGTTTTTCCCGTGTCCCGAAGAAACGATGAATATAACGGTCCGATTAAGCGAAGTCTTGCTCTCCTATTCAAACAGGAGCCCTATTCAATTAACGAAGAAATGGCATTTTCCTTTTTTTTTTTTTTTTTTCTATCGACCTTCCCGAGAAAGGTTTTTCCCGTGTCCCGAAGAAACGATGAATATAACGGTCCGATTAAGCGAAGTCTTGCTCTCCTATTCAAACAGGAGCCCTATTCAATTAACGAAGAAATGGCATTTTCCTTTTTTTTTTTTTTTTTTCTATCGACCTTCCCGAGAAAGGTTTTTCCCGTGTCCCGAAGAAACGATGAATATAACGGTCCGATTAAGCGAAGTCTTGCTCTCCTATTCAAACAGGAGCCCTATTCAATTAACGAAAAAATGGAATTTTCCTTTTTTTTTTTTTTTTTTTAATGGAAATATTACAAGATTCATCGCGACGTTTGAAAAATCATTAAGCATCAAGCTTTTGAAGTTTTTGTTATATATATATATATATATATATTTCACGAAATTATATTTTTTTTTGATTTTAATTTTTTAAAAATCGTTCGCGAATCTTGTCCTTTCTTCCTTTTCTCGTTTTTTCCTTTCTCTTTCTCCTTTCTTCCTTTTTTCTCCTCGCATTTTTATACATATTTTCTCACGCTGACTCTCCTTTGATCTCTCTCGGGGTCGAGCCGGGCTTTTTCAATAGTATCTATTTTTAAATTATATTTTTGTTGCCCCTTTGTAACTTTGTAACTTTTTTTTTTTTCCCAGCCAGTAAAAATTTATGTGATTTCATCGTCGACTGGTCTCTTCCAAAAGAAAATATACATGTATATGTACGAGTTATGGTTAATATATAACAGCGACTATCGATATATTTCGTTTCAAGATATTTTAATAGATAGAATCGTCTCGATTTTTTTCTTTTTAACTTTCTAAACCAAGTTCAAGAGGATATTTTCATTTATTATTTTTCCCCTCTCTTCCTTTCTTTTCCCATCTTTAAATAGTAGATCGAATTTGAGTGATCTACAGCAGGATGACGTCTAGAAGAAAGTTTTGCGTGGGAAACTCATATTTCGAAACGGGATCAAGTTTTTATTAAAGCTTTCTTTTACGTCGCTCAACGCGATCTAAAGATATTTTTGCATATTATTGGACGTGCTATTCCTCCCTCGCGCGAAAGAATAAAAACAATCGAAAAATTTCACTTATACAACTTCACTTATTTCGTCGTCCGAGTTAATGATATTTTTACGTTAAAAAAAAAATAAAAAATTTATCACAGCAACCCGAGAAGCTTGACATTTTCAAATTTCGCCAATAATTTTTAACATCGACGAAAGAGAGAGAGAGAGAGAGAGAGAGAGAGAGAAAGAGGGAGGGGTAACTTATTTTGCCAGACCGGTTATTTCTGCGAAAAAAAAAAAGTTTTGCAACTGTTTTTCAATGGAAATTGATTTTTGAAATATATTTTTTGACACGCGTGCATAAAAGATTCGAAGGGAAAATATTGTTCCGGAAGCACTTTCAAATAATCAAGAAATTTAATACGTCGTATCAAAGGGGTTTTAACTAGGATAAAATATTATCTTTCGAGAACACATTGACAGTTGACGACGCTATTACGCGTCTCGAATGGAGTAGCTGGTGAAGTATCAACATGAAACAGTTATTGATCACTTTCAAGAAGAAGGAAATGTTTATTCTTGGAAATTTAAAATCGAATAGTTGATTAGAACAAAAATTTCTCTTCGAGATTCAATACCAACCAACGCATAATTCGTATCACAGAGACACGAAGTTTGTTTTATTTCATCGCATCGCCCTCTCTTCTATTCCCGTATTTTCGTTTACATTTTTTCCCACTAATTAATTTTCGTCTATCTTTTTTCCTGAAAAACTTTTCATCGACTCAAAAAAAAAAGAAAAAGAAATCAGATCAAACCGGTAGAAAAAGTTTACAACCGAAACTTTACAACACGAGCACCGCAGTGCGATCTATTAATTCCACTCGAAACGAAAATATTCCATGTCGAACAGCCGTCATCATCACCCGCCCGCTCCCTGCGAGTCGTAATTCGAGAACGTAATACCCGCAATATATATAAAAATATATCTCAACGAGTCGATTTTACGACGAGAAGGACGGAGAGAGATAAGGCCTTTTACTTGGCTTTTCGATCGAGGTCTCGTAACATCTGCGTAACCGCGTATCGTGGTAATTTATTCGATCTACGGCCTGTAAAGCCACGCTCCTTTTGTCGTTGGTAGAAATATTCGGAAAGCGATATCGACGAGGGGTTCGAAAATTTCTCTCTCCTTGCCCCTTCCCTTCTCCTCGCAAAAGTTTTTGCGGGAGTTATCGATAAAAAATTTGGACGAGGGAGGTTGGGCGAGGCGTGGTAAAACTTGGCTATTAGTTCGAAATGTTCGCGTTTAAAAATTTCAAAGGAAGGAAAATTTATTTTTCCCCTTCGCGTGAAATATCGTATCTTCTCTTCGAAATAAAATATATCTTGGGGATATAAAATGGGGGAAATTTAACGATGATTACAAATAAAGTTATCTCGATAATTTATTGTTCGAAACGTAATTTTGTAATAATTTTGGAAATAATTGTAATGGCGGGTTACGTATGGATCCAATACATGTTTTAACGAGTAATTAAAGTAACTTTATATAAATTTTTAACTGGTTACTATTTTTCAACGGGTTAATCGTTATTTCGCATTATTAAAACGAGTTGGTCCAATTTTCGACGAATAATAAAATCAGGATAGGGACAAGAACGAGATTAAAAAATGGATGAAAATTACTATAGCTTGAAATCGCGCGTTAATTGGACGTGGGAAGAGGGCGGGATAAAGAGGCGTAGGAGATTCGACGTCTTTCTTGCAGCGAGGAAAGAAGGTGAATAAGGGGAGCGTGGAAAGGGAGAGATGGCGTGGAATTTCAAGAATGGCGCTCATAATGGTCCGGGCCACATATTAGTTTATCTCGTGATGATCCCAACGAACGAGGTCCAACTTCTTGGCAATTCTACGACGCTGCGTGCTGCTCCTAGGAATGCTCGTCCTCGCGTCCACGTTCTCCAACGTCGAGAAAGAAATTGCGCGCCGATTTCGAAATTAATTATCGAGATCGGCGATTGGATAACGATTGGAATGAGCGTCGATGGAAATTGATACGCGTCGTTCCAAGATGCTTCGAAATTTTGATGATTGATATAATGGTTCGATATTAAGTTGGAAATTAGGTCGATTTGAAGTATTTGAATACTTGATACGAGATATTATATATATATATTTTTTTTTTGTTATCGAAAACTTTTATTATTCCTTTATTCCGTATTTTAAAAGTTTTTTTTTTAACAGTTGAAAAACATTTGTTCATTTCGAAAACACGATCGTCAGTACGGAATTATAAAGCCATTGTGTTACCATTGTGTTGCCACCTTTTCATACAAATTGTTTTTATTTCTCCTCTCTTTTTTCTCGCTCTCTCTCTCTCTTTCTCGCGTGGAACGCGTCCCCTCTCGTGTCACGAAACCTGACACTTTTCGCAATTGATCGTTGTATAAACGATTTCATCTCTATCAATCGAATCGCATATCCTTATTTAGACATAGCGCGATAACGATCCGATCTCCTCCGTGAATGGAAATCCAACTTAGAAGAAGATATCGAAAGCTTTCCTTTCCTCGTACAAACTGATCCTTTCTTACTTTTGCAGAGAGAGAAACTTTTATTCTTTTCACCGATTCCACGCAAATATCTCTTCTTCCATTATATTTCTAACGTTATGAGATATTTTACGATCAAATTAAATTCGAAAATGTTGCAGATATTATAATAAAAAAAACTGGCGAGGAAGGAATAATTTTTTTTTTTTTCCTTTTTCTTTTCGAATTTCGTTTTGGAATAACCAAGGTTAGGATATCGATGAAAAATATCGATGAACGTTATTCCAAAGCCGCTTTAATATCCGTTCAACGTCGCAGGAAGAAAGTTTCAAAGAAAGCTTGGCTGGCTACTACGAATTTCGACCGTTTCTTCGCTCCGATTTCCAATATCTTCAACTCGTTCATACATCGAATTCTTCCATTCTTTCCTATACCCGGATCTGGACCAATTTCAGATGTGCCGTTTCTTCCTTTCTTCTCGTGAACTCGCTTTATAATATTCGATCCCTCCGCGAACAATAAACACGCATTTTAACACGCTCTCGAGAGATTCTCACGCATGCCAATCTACGCAATCCGTTTTAAATATTTCAAAATGGCGCGTCGATTATCCCCTTCCTCCCTCTCTTTGGTTTTTCGAGAAAATTAAAACGTAAATTTCGTTTCGTTCCACCCGTGAATTTTTCATTTTTCGCGCGAGCTCGTACGAAAACCTTTTACCTTCACGTGATTATTTTATATACAACAGCGTACGAAATATCGCGTTACTGTAAATTCGATGCGTTTTTGAAACACGAGTACTCGCGCCGATTCGATTTATAACCGATTATTACGTCATTATAATTCCAGATAATTCTGAATTGTTCAAAAATTATTTAAAATCGATCTCACTCGATTCATTAAAAATTTTATATTATTATCTAGTTTGAAATGAAAATATAAATATTTATAAGTAATATTTATATAAGTTAAATATAAGTTATATTTTAACATTTTAACATCGTGTTTCGAAATTTTATGTTATTATCATAAGTTCGAAGAAGCGAAACAAGAAACAGATATCGCTTTAACGTTAAAATGTTAAAATAAATTGGAAATAAATTGTGGGTTTCAGATAATTTGTCGAGGGAAATAGTGCGATGATACGCTCCGGCGTGAAGCAAATCCAAGTTGACGGGAATGCGTTTCTGGGAAAAGGGTGAGCCGAGCGGCTCCACGTTCTACCCATTTTCGTTGGACCGGCCTTGTTTTCGGTGTATCGGCAATTTATCGTGAAACACAGAGGCGAGGAGAACACGGCAGGGAGCAACACGATCGGGCAACAACTTTATGCCGGTAACCGGAGCCGGAAACCAGAAGGAAGGCGCAACAGGGAGCTAAGAACACTTCCGTTTCTTCCAACCGAAGTCAGGCTATCCAACTTTTATCAGGATGTTGCCTGCCAACGTGGTATCCTTCGTCAAAAAGGTAACTTTTTTTAGCTTCTTTTTCTTCTTCTTTTAAAAGATATAGAAGTAACCTTATATTCACAAAGTATCAATTGTCAAGATGATGGTAATAAATTATGAATCAAACTTTTCAAAATATCAATTTTCAAGATCATCGTAACGAACTATGAACCAAGCTTTTTTTTTTTTTTAAAAAGATATAGAAGTAACTTTATATTCGAAAATTTAGAAAATATCAATTGTCAAGATCATCGTAACAAACTGTGAACCAAACTTTTTTTTTGTTTCTAAAAGATATAGAAGTAACTTTATATTCGAATATTTAGAATTTAGAAAATATCAATTGTCAAGATCATTATAACAAAGTGTGAACCAAGCTTTTTTTTTTTCTAAAAGATATAGAAGTAATTTTATATTGGAATATTTAGAAAATATTAATTGTCAAGATCATCGTAACAAACTGTGAACCAAGCTTCTTTTTTTTCTAAAAGATATAGAAGTAATTTTATATTCGAAAATTTAGAAAATATCAATTGTCAAGATCATCGTAACAAACTATGAACCAAACTTTTTTTTTTAATAGCAATTAATTTATCAATTCTAAGTTTAATTCTTACATTCTTAAATTTTAAATAAAACATTTGATCGACTAAATTTGTCCAACTAATTAAAACTAATCTAAAAAATCTAAACTAACGCTTCGAAGAGACGTTTCATAATAAAAATAACCGTCCAATTTAACGAAACAAAATATTCAGTCTCGTTCATAAAGTAAGAAAGGGAAAAAAAAAGAAAAATAAGAAGCGAGTTTTATTCCCCTTTTTTTATCTTCTTTTCCCCTCCTCCTCTCGGGGGAATAAAATATATTTATCGACGCGATTTATATAGAAAGCGTTATCGAGAAGAAATCCAGAAAAGTGTATCGTGAAACATACGGAGAATACATTTTCACACGAGCGAACGGCTGGCTAAGTTTCATTCCTAGCGCGTTTCTCGCCCTTTTTTAGAACGAGATTTACACCGAGGGAGGGAGGGATGGAGGGGTAAGATGGTTTCTTTGTATCGTTGGAATCTAGACTCGTGCGAGTTAAGAGCGAGCGGCGATGAATCCTATCCCCTCCCCATGGTTTGTAACCAACCCCTTGGAGGGATTAAACGGCATTGTTTCGAGATCGTGTCAAGATGTTGGCGATCGAGTCGAGGGGGGGATTAAATTTCTTGAGAGGTTGGGAACATCCGGAGGATGCTCTTCTTTAACATCCAGTTCGTCGTTTGTCGGATTTCGTTACTTGCCGGAGGCGGAATCGAGATCTCTATTTTTCAGATCGTGTGGAATATATATATATCTTGTGGAGAGAAAAATTGTAACACATACATGATCCACTTTAACGAAATCGAGAAAGAGTCGAAGAGAAATTGTTCGAACATTATTTGTTCGAATTATTGTTTGGAATCGAGATCTTTATTTTAGATCTGTTTAGTCGTGTGGAATATATATATATATTTTCAATGGGGAGGGAAAAATTGTAACACACACATGATCCATTTTAACGAAATCGAGAAAGAGTCGAAGAGAAATTGTTCGAACATTATTTGTTCGAATTATTGTTTGGAATCGAGATCTTTATTTTAGATCTGTTTAGTCGTGTGGAATATATATATATATTTTCAATGTGGAGGGAAAAATTGTAACACACACATGATCCATTTTAACGAAATCGAGAAAGAGTCGAAGAGAAATTGTTCGAACATTATTTGTTCGAATTATTGTTTGGAATCGAGATCTCTATTTTTCAGATCGTGTGGAATATATATATATATCTTGTGAAGGGAAAAATTGTAACACATATATGATCCATTTTAACGAAATCGAGAAAGAATCGAAGAGAAATTGTTCGAACATTATTTGTTCGAATTATTGTTTGGAATCGAGATCTCTATTTTAGATTCGTTTAGTCGTGTAAAATATATATATTTTGAATGTGGAGGAAAAAATTGTAGTACACACATGATCCATTTTAACGAAATCGAGAAAGAGTCGAAGAGAAATTGTTCGAACATTATTTGTTCGAATTATTGTTTGGAATCGAGATCTCTATTTTAGATTCGTTTAGTCGTGTAAAATATATATATTTTGAATGTGGAGGAAAAAATTGTAGTACACACATGATCCATTTTAACGAAATCGAGAAAGAGTCGAAGAGAAATTGTTCGAACATTATTTGTTCGAATTATTGTTTGGAATCGAAATCTCTATATTAGATCTGTTTAGTCGTGTGAAATATATATATTTTGAATGTGGAGGAAAAAATTGCAGTACACACATGATCCATTTTAACGAAATCGAGAAAGAATCGAAGAGAAATTGTTCGAGCATTATTTATTAAAATTATTGTTTGGAATCGAGATCTCTATTTTAGATTCGTTTAGTCGTGTGAAATATATATATTTTGAATGTGGAGGGAAAAATTGTAGTACACACATGATCCATTTTAACGAAATCGAGAAAAAAAAAATTGTAAATTGCTTGAACATTGTTTTAACGACTCGCGTCGTTAGAAAATTTAAAAGGAATTTGATGTAAAAGTTTGTAATATATAGGGTATAATGGAAAGGAAAAGTTTGAATGTACGATTGAAAAAAATAATAAAATAATCGATTTCATAACTACGTTATATAACTACGTTATTGTATCACGTGTAACAGGTTTTACGAAGTCGAAAAGCGGATTAGATGAATAAATCGAAACATTTTGCGTCCGCGGGATGAATAAAATATCAGGAATGGAATAAATATCGTATATTTAATAACATGGAAGTTGGATCGATCGTTTGACTCGCATGCACGAGTAACCTCTAAAGTATCGACGTACAAAATATAAATTTTATATACTAGCTATATTTATATATATTTCATTCTAACTAAAAAATTTTATATTTAAAAAAAAAAAGTAAGAAAGTATCTCTTAAAATATTTCCCTTAAAAAAAAAAAGAAACATTTATAACTGTAAATATTTCGAAACACATTGAAACGTAAAATGATGTAACTTTAAACTACGAATAACGCGTGCAAATAAATAATAAACCATAAATATTTCTCGTACGTACTCGCATTAATATCAAGGTATGTTGAAAATATACGTGAATTAATTGTTTAGAGAGATTTAATGGCGATTAAGTTTGTTAAATTTCGTTTCGTTTCGTTTCCCCGTTTCAGAACGAATGAACTACGATAAAGGATTTTGGTCAAAACGAGTGAATGCAATCGCAACAAAAGCGCGGGGCTTTGCGTTGGAGACTGATATCCGGGCTTGTTTGATCTAAAACGCAGATTTTCGAGTTGAATTTCAACAAAACAATGGCCCGCTTCACCAAAGATTCATGAGGGTTTCCATGAATTTGTCACGAGTCAGACACGAACGGATCCGAGTTTCACGCGATTTCGATTCGCATTTTCTCCATTTTCTGACAAGGAGAAAAAGGAGGAAGCGATCCATCGTTCGACTCGTCTCATTTATTATACGGAGATAATTATAGAAAGATTTATGGAAAGTAAATTCGCGGAAAGAAAAAGTTTTTCTACGAGAGAGAGAGAGAGAAAGAGAAACTCTCGAAGGATAAAGCGAAGCATTTGTCTCACGTTCTTTTTAAAAGCGCGGATGACGAACCTTTCGAACTATTCGTTCCAAATTAAGAATTAATTTAATTCTTAATATTCTTAATTTAATAAAATTCGTCACATCGTTTGACTTTAATCGTTCGCAATTTTTATTGTCGATTTGGTTTATTTATCGAATAGATATCGAACTACTACATTCGAAAAAACTGATTTCGATTCTTAAAAAAAAAAAAAAACTCTAAGTCGGGCCAACGTGTTCAAACCTTACTTTCTACTAAATGAACCATCTTCGTTCATTTTAACGATTTCTCGTGCGTGCTCTCTCCATCGACATCGATGAACGACATACTCGATAACAAAGAAATATCGATACCGTCTGCTACCATTGTCGAAGCATTGTTCGAGGTAGCGCGGGATTACCACCATTCATGGAATCGTTTCACTCGGCGTGCACAGCGCGGGGAAGCGCGCCAATCCGTGTTATTCGACACACGCGCTTCCAACAGAGGTCCTACATTTCCTCCATCCTCGGTGCACCCATTTTCGATAGTATTTTACACCCATAAAGATCGAGGAATTATACGGCTCACGCTCGAAAAAATCCATCCATCCGATCCATACGTCTGCTCTATCGTCGAAATCACTGTTCAATAGAGGTAATAGAGTTACGTAATTTAGTACACTCTTCGCGACATCGGAGAACGCGTTAAAAGGAAAAAAGAATTATAGGCATTTTCGATTGGAATCGTTTAGCAAAGAAGCGCACAAACATGTGTTATTCGACACACGCGTTTCTTTCTACATTTCTTCATCCTCGGTATACCCATTTTTGGTAA